GGTTAAAAAGTATAGATTTGTTGAGCTTGAAAATCAAATTGCAGTACTCAAATACCCTTATCCCAAACTGACTAAAGTGTCTCTTGAAGACTAATTTCAGTTCATTCTTAGAGGTATACTTGTGGATATTTGGTGTCTCTTTTTGGAGGTATAGTAATAATTCCATACTCTGAGCTTGATATTCTACACATCCTAGTGTATTTTCATTCAGTGAATCTCTCCTTTTCCATCAGAGGTACTGCTGGGTAACATTAAAGGACAATTTGGTAGCCTGTGTTGACCAAGGAAAAGGGATTTACCTTCCCCATTTTTCTCTCCTGTTTTCTGAAAGATTGTCTTTTGGGGATGGATGGCTGACTCAATTTTGTGGTTTTGTTTTGTTTTTTCTTTCAGTGAGTACATTTTCTGGAGGTAATAATCAGCACAGGCTGATCCTGGGATGGCTTCCACTTTGGCTGCAATACTCGCCCACATGCAAGACCTGTTTTCTGTGTGTTTCTTTGTCAGAACCGGACATGATAATGATTTTCTACCTTAAATATTCTGAGGAGCAGACAAGAGGAAAGACTTATGTGATAGCAGCTCTCCAGTGACCATGATGCAGTATTCATAATGCAAAATTTCCCAGAGAGGGCTGAGAGCTGAAAGTCTGTAGCCAGCTTTGGGATGATGTTTTGGTGAGACTGGGCTCCCAAGGATGCTTGTATATTTTGTATATTTTTTCACAAGATGTCATTGTAATGCTGGGGAGGCTACCTTTATTTTGTGCATTATCACTACTTTGTGAGTAAAATACATGCTAACTCGAATCTTATATGGTAATACATAAATAGAGGCAAATAGGTGAAAATGCATGGCTATTGTCTCTTGTTTGGCAGGAATGATTTCCATTATCTCAGCAAAATACTTTGTTTTCCCAGTCAGTCTTGCAAAATAACGCAGCTCCCAATTCCTAACAATGAGATTAAATAACATCTCTGTGTTCCAGTTTGTAGCTTTTTAGGTATTATTAGGTTGTGTATTACTTAGATATAGAAGGAATGATGCAATGCATTTTCTGTATTGGGAGAAGTCTGGGGTAATTTCAACAGGATGTTGAACTGGAAACAGAATTGGATGCAGAATTGGAAACTCTGTAATCTTGTATGCTGCACAGATTGATCATCCTTAATAGTAGACGACATAATACTTTTTCTAACCGTACTGACCTGGCTTGGACAGATGGCTAGTTCTGTTAGCTATATATCCTTCACAACTTATATTATTTATCTATTTCCCTTTTCAAAAAATTTTTAATAGTGTTTTGTGGAGAGAAGTTAGTATTTCAGAGAGTTTGTATCTGCCATGTTGGCCTACTGGAATGCATTTGACATGTTAACTTTCTTTTAACAGTTGTGTTTAATATATACAGAGAGCATTTTGCTTCAAAGGGTTTCTGAATTGTTTATTGATCTACTTCATTGCTGCTGTTCCTCTGGTTCTTTTTGATGTCTTGTCACTTAATTCAAAATATAATGCCAAGCTTTTAAATTAAGGGTTGTGCAGGAAGCCTAATTGTGTAAATATTAGGGTTTGTTTCTCTTTTGAGTGAGAATGTACTAGATTGTCTGGTAAAAGCTGCTGCCATCAGAGTTTTATCTGTTTCATGCCTCTCACTTCACACAGACTCATTCCTCTCTTCCTCTTAAGAAAGTTGAGATGTCTGGGGTTTTATCTTTTAGGTATTATAAAAGTCTAATATCTTATTATGCAATTAGAAGCTTACAGACTAGTTCCCTGATTAAGAAAATAAATTTTATTATTTTTCTTTCCTTTCCTTTAATGTTTTCCATATATTTCTCTTACATTTGTTAAATTTACTAGCTAAAAGTGTCTGCAGATTCCCTCCTTCCACCTCCCATTAGTTTATTCTATCACCTTTTGAAGCTTTTTAAATTTCTGGAGTAGAAAATCATTAGTGGTAAGGAGTTCTATAGTTAGTATATTTATTTCTTGGAAAAGTGTCTCATTTTTAATCCTGCCACCTGAATATTCCTTTGTGGATTTTCATACTGTATTTTAAATTTTTGGGTAACAACTCCTCACTTAATTTTTAAGCCTTGCATGATTTTAAATATATTTGTCATAACCTGCATCAGTTGCTTCCCCCCCACCCCCACCATGATTAAGATCATAGCCTGTTAGCTTATTTCTTGTATGGAAGAGGTTCCATTTCTTGCTTATCTTGGGCACCTCTTAGTATCTTTTTATTACCTTTTATTATCTTTTATTTCTAGATTTTGCATTTGATTTAGCCTTTCTAGTCCATTGTCTGATCTACCATCACAGTGTACCCACAGCAACAGCAGGGGGTTTCCTGATACCAGATTAATTTTTGTGATAAAGTAGTGTAGAAGTGTAATAAGTGGCAGAGTGAGAAATAAGACTTCCCACTGGTCATAAGGCAGGCTTGGAGCTGTTTCATTTAGATGTACAGCTTCTCCAGACTAATGGCTTTGCCTATGAAGCCATGCTACCTGTTTGCACTTGCCCAGCTTCTAGCCCACCTTGCCCTTGCAGCCACAAAACCTGGACATTGTTTTCCCAGTGCCCTTAGGATGCAGCTCTGAGTTACTGGCCAAGATTGTGTCCTGGAGATGCTGAGTGACCAAATCACATAAATTGGCCTGTTTGAATTATCAGCCTCTTCTGGCTCAAAAGGCAGAGGTTTGTGCTACAAAGCTGTCAGATTCATGTATTGCTGGTGTTCACTGTGTGTTATACAGGACAATTATGCTTTTCGTTTTTTTAAGTCCGTAAGTCACTCTTTTCTTTCTCTCTCCTCCACCCAAAATACTGAGAATGCGTGGAAATATTGCAGAGATGGAGGGAAGATTTTAATATTTAAGGCTGCAGAAAGTAAGCTGCTGCATTAGAAATGGCCAAAGTTAAGGCTACATGTGCAGTGCTAGATCCTTCTTCTGTGCCTGCTGCCCCATCAGTCTTTGGCCATGTACATACTATTTTCTCTTCTGTAAAACATCAGGTGTTTAAACAACACCAGAAATGTTGTAAAATCATAGAGTAGAGCTAGATGTATTTACTGATAAGATTCTTTTTTTCTCCTGCTGGCTTCACCCTTTTGTTGTTTTATTTCAGTCTGTAGCTTGACGACACTGCTTCTCTCTCCCAACTCATTGTAAAGTGTCGCTCCCTACCTTTCGAAAACCTACTTCAAATACAACTGAATAAAAAGCAGTAGAGAAAACCACATTAGGAGGGTGAAAAGGAAAGCAAATCCTCAGCTGTATGAGGCTGCCAGTAATGTTCAGAAACTGACAATGATGAACTGCTCATCTAAGTATAAATAATCTTCACAGTCTCTGTGTTTCTTGCCTTGTGAAAGGGTACTCATTATTTTTTTTACTTTTAAAATATTTGGTGATCACATCATTTACTTTGTCTGGTGTAAGCCTCTGTTGCAGTCACTCTTCACTTTGCTGTACATGAAAACCAGGAGTCTAGAGACTGTCTGGTGTGTGGTGAAATGAGCAGTTAACTGTAGCCCAGCCTGGTGTTTTGTGATCTGCCATGTATTTTACAGTGAAAACATCAGGATAGAATACTGCAAAATTGACAGGTTTTCAATGACAGGGATTTTAATCTTTTTCACTGTTTACATACTGAAGATGAGGACTTTGCTATGACACAAAGACACTTCAGGAAGATTTCAAACAGCAGCAGCAGCAAAAAAATTCCTCTCTTTGGGGATGAAAATGTATCATGTAGGCTGTTTTGTCATGTTAAAGTTAAAACATTTCTTTTCCCAAATGTATTAGCTGAGGAAATTCTCATATTTTTAAAGCAGTTAAGTAGCCAAGAAATCAATAATATGTATAAAATGTGTAATAAATGTTGACTTCTGTGCCTTTACTTCACAATACCTTGTCATACTTGACACAGTGTCCTTGTAAAGACTGAATACACATAATTCCTATTGAGTTTGTGAGAGGGTTTGTGTTTGTGAAGGTTTGTACTGCCTTGTTAAAAAAAGAAAATTCTTGCTATTTAAAAATTATTAAACCTCTATCTCCTGATTATGATTTTTGTAAAATATCTTCACAAAAGAAAATTCATTAAGAAAATAGGTACTGTGCTGCGGGAAATCTCAGCAAACAGAACTGCACAACAAAAGTTGTGTCTTTGGGTAATCAAAGCTGCTGTTGTTAGCTCCTGCTCTTTCAGGTTTCACTAATTGAAGTCCCTTGACTTAAATCCATTGTTTGTATTAAGAAAGGGGGAGGGGAGGAAAAAGAAAGGCTCTGGGGTTGGGTTTTTCTTTTTTCCTTTTTCCAGTATTGTCCCTGTCAACACACCACTGTTTCATCTGAACCAAGGGATGCATGAAGCATTTCATTCTGGGTTTTGTTTCCCTGTATTTTTTATATTTAGCAGCTCTAAAAAAATCACTCAATCAACATATCTGACCCAAATACTAGGCTTGACTTGAACATACTGACACTGTCTTGGCTCATGGACAACTGAGAGTGAATTTGTGTTTGAATTTTTGTTCTGTGATCTGTGTAGGTAGAGGTGATGGAAGAAGAAAATAATAATCTGAAAATCTGTCTCGTTTCTTTCCCAGCCATGCCACAGAAGTCAAGTCTCAAATGCTTATTTTGATCTCATTTGTAACCTCATGTAGCTTTGGGGAGTCACTTCTGACTTACAAGACCCTCTGTGGGAACAGGAGCAGCTCTCTCATTCCACTGCTCAATTTTGCAGGCTTGTGTTTGAGTCACTTGGTCCTTTTGCCCTCTCCGAAGCACCAATGTATTGCATTTACTTTGTGACCTGAGGAGCTGCCAAGCAATGTAACCACATTGGCAGCTCTGTCTGACCAACATAGAAAGCTTCTTCTCCCTCTCTGAATCCAGGGAAGTCATCTGAACTAGTTACTGTGGCAAGTCCTATCATGACAAGATCCAAAATTAAATTACTACCTTATTTTTTTTTTCCAGGTACTCCACATCTGCATTCTCCAAACTAAGCAGAGTAGGGATCCGACATCCTCCACCTCTTCCTTTCATTGGAAACCTGCTCTTTTTCCGTGAGGTATGATGTGGTTTTCTTTGTATCAAAGTGATAGGAAGAGTGGATAGGAGGCAGGAGGAATTGAAGGGGATCCCACAGTTCACTGGTACCACCTCTTCAGGCATGTCCCTCTGGAAAGGACAAGCAAAACTCAACATTTTGAATGAATTGGTAGAAGCAGCTGTGTGTAAGCAGCTCTAATTCCAGGGTAAAGTAAACTTGAGGGAAAGAAAATGTGTAAGCTCCTGCAGTTAATTACTTGAGCTTTTCCAAGAAAGTTCATGCCCTCAGTGAAACAAACTTAGTTATGTGAATAGAGCAGATTATGTTAACTAACCCAACTGGTTTGTTCTGAGTTTTGGCCCCTACAACCTTTCTATTTGTTTGCACTTTGCCAATTGTACACATTTATTTTAAAGCCTTTAATATTCCTTGATCTGAAGCAGTAACTGGAATTAGGTACTGCTGAATGTTGTTGCTCTGTGCTGCAAATATAAGAGATGTGAGGAAGAGGAATTAGTGACATTTTGCTTCCAGATTTTATTCTCTTATTTTTCTCACCCATCATCTTTGAATAGACTGCTAATGCTGTATTTTATTCCTTGTACCATTTAAGTGGTATTGCTGAGGGTCCAAGATACCTCAGTTATAAGGAGCTTCCATTTCTCTGGTTGGATCTTACAGTAAGATCTCTCCAGTGTGTCTCTGTTGCAGCCCAGCAACTTTTAAGGAAATCTGGGCCAGCTCCAGCTGCTGCCCAGTTTTCCCTGTTAAGTGCATGGTCATCAATATCCATGCTGAGATTTGAATTATTAATGAGAATATATTGCCTCTTACCTTGATCTTCATGGGGATTGTTCTGTCGATACCAGACTCATTATTAGGTAAAACCTTTTTAAATACCAGTTTTACATGTACATCTGATTTCATTTAGAAAACAGCATAAAAAGTTGACTTAATCCGCTCTAGATTAATTTGAACTGGAATTGGCAGGATGACTTTACCTTACAAGGGATTCTGGTGGTATGGGATGCTGACCTGTTCTCCTTCACTCTTCAGGTTTCAATTCAGCTGGGTGGTGGAAAGCCACTCATTCTGTAGCTCCTTAGTGGTGAAATCCAGATATCATTAGCTACCTGCTAACACTTGCTGTTAGGTAAAGGTGCCTGGAGACTAAGTTATTTTGGAATGTTGTGGATAGGCTTGCCCTTTACCAGGGTGGAATTGTAAAGGGTTTGGGAAATTACCCAAAATTATTATATGATCTGTTAGGCAAATGTCATGACTAGAATTTAAATCAGACTAATGCAAAAAATTTAACCTTGATTTTACTACCTTTTAGGAAGAAAAATAAATTAAATGTAGCTGAGAAATTGTATACTGGGATGCCAAGAAATAACTGCTTTTAAACTAGTCGAGTGGTGCAAAGCCACAAGCACTGCCAGGCTGCACATCCAGCACTCTGGCATTTCACCACCCATCCTCTCTACCATGCTGTCACTGCCAGTAAGAATGAGCAGAGAGGAGCCCAGGCTCTTGGTAATTTTTCTACCTCCTCTCATGTCTTTTACCATTTTTCTGGATCTACTCCTAGGGTGCTTTCCTAGAATAGTGCCCATAGGAGTGAGCCAGTAATGGGAGCTCTGCTTTTATACTGCAAGCTCTTGTCTGTGCAAATGTTTTCAGGGACACAAGTGCCTTCAGTGCAGTCAGTAGAGGACATTGTCCACTTTCCCTTTCCCACAGAGGAGAACCGGGGCCTGCTCATCACCTTACTGGGAATAGGGATGGTTTTATGGGCTTAACTGTGAGGAACACTGCTGTGCATGAATAGGGGTTGGGTTTATTTTATATACTTTTTTATAGGAAGTAAAAAAAATGTTCATTTGTTCTGTTGCTCCATCTATAATATTAAGAAGTTCTTGCCCTTTCATGTTTATGTAACCATTCTCTTTCCACCAAAATAGCTGTTTGGAGAGTCTCCCTTTTAAACAGGCTGGCTCTTTCTTAGTATTGCTAATCTTCTACAGGAAAACACATGAGCCACATTCCCGTTAAATCATCAAACTAGTGTTTTTCAACCATGAACATTTATTTCAAAGGAATTAATGAATGGTGACTAAGAGGAATGAATTGATATGTACCATAAGGGAATCTGCATATGTGTAATTCATACATTTCCAGTGTTGAATTTTGTCTGCAAATTAACACAGGTTGAAAAGCCCTGAACACAAATGAGATCTGGGAGATAAAAGGAAATCAAGGCTTCAGCATATGCAGCCTAGCAGTCCAAAATGTGTCCTCATCTTATGAATTCAGGCTTTTCTGCTAGAATATGATTGCCAGAAGTGCAAGGAAAAAGAAATAAAGCAGGAGAGGAAGTCCCTTTGACATAATAGAGTAAATCTATGACCTGGGAATTTAAGAAGAAACATTAAATGTCAAAAAATCCCACCAAGATTGTGTAAGCAGTATTTTACAATTTGTAATGGTATAAATTCAAGGGTTTGCTTGCCTTCTCCCTTACTTGAGCATAAATCACTTCTACTGAAATAAATGGAGTTTCCTGTTTTGCTGCACTGTGCATGTAAACAGAGCTTCAGGCCTCATCCATTTTTTTGCAATTCTTCTTCTGCAAATGTGCCTGAAAACAAAGGAACAGTACAAGCAGGATTTTACCAGTAGTGCTGAGTTGTGGGGTATTTAAGAAGCTTTCAAACATATTCTAAACAAGAAAATATTTTGTTAATGAGAGTTTTATTTGTTTTTAAGAATTATTTCAGGGATTTCTTGAACAGTGTAATTTTTTCAGTAAAATAATAGTAACTGTTCATATAGTGTCTCTGAGAGAGGAAGAGGAAGTGTGGAAAGTGAAGGGGCTAAGGACAGTGCAACAGGAAAGACAGAAAAGGAGAGTTTAAGAGCTGGCTTGGGGAAAACAAAGTTATTTTACTGTAAGTAAGCCTTCTCTCTCAGGTAAAATAAAGGGAGATAATCACACTCTGAAACTAAAACATATCCAAGTTAATCGGCTTATCTCAACAATGGGAGGATAGGAAATTATTGCAGTTCTGCAGCTAGAAAATTATCTGAGTCCAAGATATTAGATTAAAAATTCTTCCATTGCATGAGAACAATTTGTGGTGTGTAAGTCTGATGTAATAGTAAATATGATTAGGCTGTTTAAAAAAAGTAGCATGTTCAATTTTTTCCAATAACTGAGCAGACTTGCAGCCAACAGGCTGCTGTTTTGCTACAAATTCCTGACTGTTTGCTCACCTCTCCATGTGCTGCATTTTTCCTATGAGTCTGGAAAAACGTGAGGGCTGTTTGTGATAGCTGTGTAATCATTGATGCAGGGATATACACAGCATGGACTTTCACACATGGATCTGTATGGGCTTTATAGCAGCAGGATGCAGAAAAAACTAAACCAAACTCTTTCATCAATTCCCAGGCTAATGATTTTATTACGTGACAAATGCTCTGAAAACAGAGAAGCTACATATCTGCATCACCCTTTCTCTCTGGCAAACACTTGACCTGTTGCTATGGCTGTGCTGTGCTTTTCTCCCCCTTTCCCATTCCTTTCCTTAAATGACAGATGTGCTGTTTTTAAATGTCATCGGCTCTGACATTTGCATGGCCCTGGTCGCCTGGTGCTGTACCTGTGTGCACTGCTCCCTGCCCAGCCTCCTGGAGAGCCACACTGTGCTGCAGCAGCTTTGGGGCTGCCCCTGATGTTTTGGGGTGGTGGTGGGTGTATGGGTTGCCTTGTTTTGGTCCTTGGTAGGTGGGATATGCGGTGGCGTGCAGCTGAGTGACGTGCTTTGGGTCCTTACAGTGGCGTGATCTTGTGTTGCTTTCCTCCTATTACTCCTAGCAAGCTTCAGTGATGCTTTTGACTGACTGTGTGCTTGCATCCCTGCCTTGCATGTTAATGAAAGACATCCCTCTCTTTAGCCCCTCTCAGCTTGGACAGGATACCCTTTGTTTACTCTGTTTATTCCAGTCTGGCCTACTTGTAGATCCTGGGCTACCCCGGAGCGGCCCATTTCTGCTGAATGGAAGTGGGGGCTGTGTGGGTGCTTTGTCTTGCTTTCAGTTTGGGATCTGGCTGGGCTGTGTTGTTTTATGGCTGATGGGTGGGAGTGGAAAAGGGGGGAGTGCAGGGAGGAAGCAGAGAGCAAACATTTTTTTTTTCCCTTCACTACGCATCTGCCAAAAGCATCCTTCAAGTTGGACGTAAAGGAAAATAAAGGGCAGAGTCCTAGCAGGAATGAAATTACCCCATGTTTAATTTTTAGCCTAGAAAGCACCGTGTGGGTGCTTAGAGAAGCTGCAGTGTTTACTGTTCTGGAATTTAATGACACAGCATTCAAACCTAAACAAGGTTGGAGAGAGGCAAACGGTGAGGGGAGCAAAAAGGGGGGAAAGGGAGGAAAAGGAGCTCTCAGGCTCTGGACCTGGATTGAATTACTAGAATAAAATTACTTATATTGACAGTAAAAGCCTGCATATGGTTTTATGTTTCTTTGTGCAGATAAACAACAGAAGAATAAGATGGGGAGTGTGTGGTTTGCAGCTTGATAGCTATCTGTGTGGAACCAGAAAGGTTGGCTGTGGCATCATAAACCAGCCTGTTTCCATCTCCCCCAGATGCTTGTGTGCATCTGCTGTGGGCTGCTGACTGCCAGAACAGAGCTCTTGGGGTGATCCAGGTCTTTTCTCCCGTCCTCAGAATGCCATCACCCTAGACTGGGAGGCATGTATATGTATGTGGTGCATAAATATAGATCTAAACCTAGCTGTTTCACTGTCTGCAACATGACAGAAAACCTGGGGTTACATGTGGGTCTATGTGTATATTTCTACATCTATAAAGCCAGTCTTTCTCCCCTTTTAAGATGTGTATTTTCCTAGTTTCATCTGATTGTCTGTGTTACCTCCTTTGATCAGATGTTAGCATTGTCAGATAACCTGACAATGTTGGTGCAGTGTCTCTCTGTGGGAACCTAAAA